CAGGAGACACTAATTGGTTCTCTCTGAACTCAAAAATGTCTTCTGTATCCTCATGGATTTCAACTCCCAATAATCATCTGACTTTGAATGTAAGGATCCCTAAACAGGCTGGCTGCGTCCTTAGCAACTAGGACATGGATTGTCACAGGTCTGAATGACAGTATTTGTCAGCAGTATACCTGGACTCTTACCTCCTACTTTCAGGGATAGCCCCACTTGTTTGCATGGGCCTTAGCCTGAGATTTAAGATAAGTTAAAATTTAAAAAGGGAGAACTATTACAGTGTATAAGATGATCTCATCTGTAGTCCCACCAAAGAGTTATCTAATAAAAACATGCCATGAGGGTGGGGAGAGGGCTCAGTGGAATAAGTGCTTCCCTGGCAAGCGCAAGGGCCTGAGTTCAATCCCCGGATCCCCCCCCCCAAAAAAAAAAAAAAAAAAAAGATTAAAAAAATGCCATGAAATTCTCAATTTTCTAGCAAAAGGATGTTAGAAAGTGTCTCAACATGAGGCTCAGATTTCTCAACAAAAGTAACATATCTGCATAGGTTTTAACATTAGGGCAAAGAAAATTGTCAGCAAGGAAAACAGACAAAATTTGGGTTCTCCAGAGGGCAAAGAGTATTTGACGGCCTTCTTGGGAACAAAGGGTCTCTGTCACCTATGGATATTCATTTTAATGTAATAGCCAAACCCCTATAAGAGGCAAATCAAAGACAAGAAATTGAACCTCGGAAATGGGTGGTAGTTTCATAGAATACATCATTAGGAGGATGGGTTAACCCAGACAGTCCTTCCAGGTCACTGAAGCAAGAGAACCCTCTCTGGAACTTCTGCACACAAGTTAGAACTTAGTGGCCTCACATGGGCTTCCCAGGAACTTTTAGAGATCAAATACCCAAACTGCAACCCCAAAACCACTTATTTATCACAATGTTTCAACACTGTAATTAGACCTGAATACTGTGGCTTTCGTTTAGAAAAAGCAACTCATACATTAACATTTGTTGTCTTCAAGGAAAAACAGTAACAAGAGCTTTCAATGATACAAACAGCCTGAGGCTGTATACATGCCATAGGTTCACCACCACCAATATATACTGACTCCAAATATACTTTTCTGGTCTTACAAGATTGGGCAGCCATCTGAAAAAAAAAAAAAAAAAAAAAAAAGGCGAACTTTTGACTATTCACCAGTTGCTGCTAAAGCATAGATAAGAGATCCATAATGTCCTTAGGACAGTTCATCTCCCCAACTGAAGCATCAGTTGACCACTGCTGGGAATATCAAGCTTCCCTGTATCCTGTCTCCCAGGAAAATTCCAAAGTAAATTTGGCTGCCACACAGGCTGCCCCCCAAAATAAGCTCAGCCTATCAGCAGTCACATTCCAAGATCTTAACTTAGAACCAGGAGGCTTTGCAAAAGAGCATCAAGTAATTCTTTGTGTACGGATAAGTTGCTGAAAACAGGGACCTCTGGCTGTGTTGTAAAGAGCATACATAGTGTCCTAAAGTCAAGATAATCACAGCTAAGGCAGCCACGGAAATGGTCTGCTGACATGCCCTATTCTAGAGCAACAGGGCCCGGCCAAATAGTTCAGTGGACTAAAGTGCCTACAAGCAGGCTCAGGGGCTGTGGGTTCAATCTCGAGGTCTGTCCTACCAGCCCCGCCCCGGGGGCACAATGAGAAGGCAATTGAGATTGTGCATGGTGGGGCACACCTGTAATCCCAGATCTTGGGAGGCTGTAAATAGGCAGATCACTACAAGTCTAATCTAGTAGTGAAGCCCTGAACACCCTGTAGACCCTTCCCTAAAATACAAAAAAAAAAAAAAACAACAACAAAAATGTAAACCTTAGAGGTCAAACAGTTCTCTTAACCAGCAAATTTTATTCATCAGAGAAGTCTTTGAACTTCTTTGCAGGTCCTTCTCAGTGCCTACATTAGCCTCAGTATCCCATTCTTTTGTTTGAAAACTCATACAGGATGTCTAAAGGAGCTTTTTGTCTTTAATCTAGAGAGACAGAGACAGTTCAAACCTTCCTGAATGCTCCAATATCATGCTACTGATCTCTTTTATTTAAGTCATTCATTATCCACTTGTTTAGCAGATCAGAGTTAGGTCACAACCCCAATAACTGACAATGAAGGAAAAGTCCAAAAGAGCCAGGGCTAGTCTGTGGGACCCCAATCATTCTTGTCGCAAGTACAGTAGAAAGTAATTAAGTCCCTACATGATGATGCCTTCAACTTGGGCGGAACAAGCATCACCATTCCTACGGCACATCGGCTCTTCACAGAGCCTGAGGCCCATAACATTAGGCAATCAGGTCTCTATGGCATTTTCTGCCTATGCCCTCCATAATGCAGACTCAGCTTCCTCAGTGCCTGAACCAATACAAAGCTGTGCGACCTCCTCTGGAGAAAACTAGCAAATGGATTTCACCCACATCCCTATAAGTAAGGGGTAAACACATCTGTTGGTGTGCACTGATACCTTCACTAAGTGGACAGAGGCTTCTCTAGCCAGTCAGAAGATGCTGGAGGTGGCAAAAGTCCAGCTTAAAAATATGATGCCTAAGATTCAATTCCTGCTGTCTCTCTGTTCTGTTAACAGGTCCTCCTTCACAACCCAAATCGCATTAATTCTCAGTGCTTCGGTGATACTATTTCTACTTTGCATGGGGGCCTCAGTCATCAGGAAAAATTGAGCAGGGCAATCAAACTCTCAAGTGAGGCTTAGTGGATGGAACTGTGCTGAGAAAAAAAAAAAAAAAAACCATCAAGTATTGATATGTTTAACTAAAAAAAAGAAAAAGAAAAGAAAAAAACCAATACAAAAAAAGGAAAAAAATCAGTAACACCTTGAGAAAGACATTAGAAAAAGTTATCATCAGTATGGCACCCACAAAAATAACCTAAGGAAGTAAAAGACCTCTACTGAAAACAATGGCAGCCTTGTAACATCAACTCCTTTCCCCATTTCTTCTTAAAAGTGAATATGGATTTTCAGTGGGCCTCATCAAAAGGAAAGGAGTAAGTGTAAAGCTACATAACAGCTATGATTCTGGCCCTCATACTTGAGAACATCATCAGTCTTCAAACTGCAAACATTATGATAAAAAATGATGCACTTAGCGTGGCCTGGTCTCACATGTCTGTAATTTTTAAAAAGTGTTCAATATCTCTGTAGCTCATTTCATCAAGTAAATGAAATCTTCAACTAAACTTAGAGAACATGTTTACAACAAAGGCAATTATAATCCTGTTATACCTAGCCATGCAGATTTCAAATCCAGGACAAAACAACCTAGTCCAAAACAAGGATGTATTATAAAATAGCTTCTCATGTTGGCATGCACCTCATTGGTAGCCTGGGTCCTAAACCCATATGATGCTTTAGTTTCAAGCCAAGGTAACACACACACACACACACACACACACAGCTAGTATGTCATAATTAAGTGTGTGTGTGTTTAATCTTAACAAAGGCAAACACAGTTTAGAAAACTATAATGAGCTCATCACAAAAAAGTGAAAAAGAAAAATCTCATTTGAATCTTGACAGAAACGTTCTCCAGATTTCAAATTCTACCAATTATTTCTTAGAGGCTATTAATTGAAAAATCCAAATGGGTTATTAAGTAGATAAAACAACATACCATAAAACTACCATTTGGAGTCACTGTGCAGAAGTTACTTTAGAATCACAAATAAGTCATTGGCAGTCCCTGTCTCTGTTATGTTACATGAAATCAAAATTCATGTGTAGTATTGTAAGAAACAAAAATAAATGATGTAAGGATTGAAAGGAAAGGAAAAATCACTATGCAGAAGTGATAAAAATATCAAGATGTAATATTTGAGAACAATGAAAGGAAGCCCTGTGGTGCTCAAGAAGATCAAATTATGTCAAGACGGTAGAGCTAAGCAAATCAAATGAGATCACAAATGATAAAGCATAAAAGAAACATGAAAATTAGCAATCGAGTTTCACTGTGAATCCATGAAATTAGCCTAATTAGGGAAACTCTGGTGTTGCTGGTTAGAGGAAACAGCAGCTATTGTCCCACAGTGGTGGTAGTGTGATTGTGGTATATTAAGCTTTCAGATCCAGTGACAAGCATACTCTTGGTCACATATGGCCTTTTCTCAAATCTGGATCTAGGGCAGCAAGAAACAGAATGCTCCCTGTGGCATTTATACTGCTGACAGAATTTGAAAAGCCTGCCTTCCTTAAAGGCAGACCAGGCAAAGAAGCTGTGGTACCCTGACATGTTTTCTGGGTGAAACCACTTGCTCAGCAGGTGCACTGCATACAGAAGCTCCTGAATGGCAAGGTACCCAAAAACGGAGAAGACCCCAGAACTGGCGTCTCTCTTAAGTCTGCATTCACAAATCAAAGCCAAGTGACTCCAACCAAATTATTCCCAGTCTATACTTGTATACTCTCTTGTCCTTCCCATCTGGGATGGATTTCTGATGGCACTACAGTGAAAAGCCAGAAGGGCCTTGTCACGGCTCGTGATTGGATGCCCCTCCCAAAGCCTCATGCGGTCACAGGTGGGCCTTCTTCAGAGTTGGCTGAATCTAGAGTGTGTAACTGATTCATTCACATTGCAATGCCAGGATTAGAGCACTAAATCAGTCTGCTGACTGGATTGGCACCACCCTAATCCCAGTAGCCTAAATAGAATGTAAAAGGGGCAGAAAGAAAGCTGTTAAGGTCCTTTGCTCGCCTGCTTTGCTACGTTTTGCCCACCATGAACTGTTCAACCTCTGCAATGTTCACCTGCCATGCCACCCCGGCTTAGACTCAGCCAACCATGGACTGAAAGTTCTACAAACTGCTGGCCAAATAAAACTTTCCTTCCTTAAATTTGGATGTTGGTATTTTTGTCTCAGCAATGAGAAAACTAACTAGGACAGGCCTGCACCGCTCGCTGCTCCACAGTGACACACACAGACAGGTGTAGAGGACAGATTACCACGCACCTTACACAGAAGCTCTACAGTTTATCTGCCCTTTTCCTTGGGCCATTTCCATGATCTTCTCTCGGATATCAGTATGAGAGGGCTGCCTTCGGCACGTGGGGAATCCAGATGAACCTGGAGGAGTTTCAGGGACTGCAGTCTCTGGTAACTTTTAGAACACAAAACGAAGGGTCAGTTTTCTTTTTCCAACTCAAACAGCATCTGTAGTGCTTTTTCTTCAACTCTTTATAAAGTGCTTCACTGTTCAAGATGAAGCTCATCAGAATCTATTCTACTCTTGCTTGAGCTGGAAAGAGAAAATGTCTTAATTCAACAGCAGGGACCGGGATTCAAAACCCAGTACTGCATGCCCTGCTGGCCCCGCCCCCGGGCCCACTGAGTGAGTCACCAAGACCAGCGGTGGTGGCACACATCTGTCATCCCAGTCCTGGGGAGGCTGAAAACAGGAGAATCACTACAAGTCTGAGTTCAAAGAGTAGTGAGACCCTGTACCATATATGTTAAAAAAAAAAAAGCCTAGGTGATGCTAAAATATTAAATATCTCAGGTGCTTTATTGAATGCAGACCACTATAGATCACTTACTGTATTCCCTTGATGTCTATTGCTGAAAGAGCTGTGTGACTCACTGCTTCTACCCAGGATAAGCAAGTACTGTACAACATGCCACGGTGCATGGACAGAATAAAATTCAAAAATAAAACTAAATTTCTCACTGAATACTTATCACTTTTATTCTTCAGTACTAGACACTGAATTGAAGTCCTGTGCATGTTAGATAAGTTTCTTTAGAATAGAGATAGAACTGCAGGTGTCGACACAAGGTTTCGCTCAACTGTTCTGGCTGGACTTGTTTTTACAGTGCCCCTGCCTCAGTGTTCAAAGTGTCTGAGACTAAAAGTATGTACCAAACTGCCTCACTGAAGCTTAATTTACCCAAGCACTGTAGTCTGGGTTAACTATTGTGATTAAAGAATTCTCATCTTCACCAGGAATAGTGGCTCATGGCTGTACTTTCAGCAGTACACACAGCTAAAACAGGATTAAAAGTTCACCCCAGTCTGGCCTTTAAAAAAAAAAAATCCAAGCATCTAGAGGCTAAGGCAGGAGGATTATTACAAGTTCAAGATCAGCCTGGGCTATAAAATGATCTCAAGGCCAATTTGAACTGCACAGTGAGACACTGTTTAAAAAGAAAGAAAGAAAGAAAGAAAGAAAGAAAGAAAGAAAGAAAGAAAGAAAGAAAGAAAGAAAGAAAATTAAACAGTGTGTGGGATATATTTCAGAGAAATTCCCTAAAATTTCCTCCTATAAAATAAAAAAATATATATATATTTTGAAGTCAAACTCCTACAAATCCTAGAATAATGGTGTCCACCCAATTTTTAAAACTATAACAAGGCCAGTTTAGCAATTTTTAATTTTGCTATAAAAATAGGTGAACTGATCAGCAATAATAAGACATATTTATCTAATTTTACTAAGCTCTTCTCTTTCCTTCAGGCCTCTGATCGTTGACCCACTCTTAGACCAAGCCAACATACAATCCTTTCATTGTCCTCCTAAGGACAACCTGACCTTTAAGGAAGACCAATGTCGTAAGTGTTGATTTTTGCATCCACTACCAGCCTCCTATCTCACATTCTTTCTCCTTCCATTTATTCCTCCCTACAAAGAAAACCTTTTTATACATAAGCACTGTACATCTGCAGACCTGATACTGAAGCTCTACCCATACTGTGGTAATCCTTACATATCCAGTCCACTTCAACCAGCATTTGAATTTTTTTTTTTTTAATATATAGTACAGGGTCTACAGGGTCCCACTAGACAGGTAGGACTCATAGTGATTCTCCTGTTTTCAGCCTCTCAAGTGCTGAGACTACAGGTGCACACCACCATGCCCAGTCTCAATTGTCCTCTCAGCATGCCCCAGGGGTGGTGCTGGCACAGCACACCAGAGACTGAACCCTGGTCTCTGAGCCTGCCTAAGGAGATGCTGTAGTCTGAACTATCTAGGCAGCCCAGCATTTGAAATTTTACAACAATTATCTACACAGTCCAAGGACTACAGCAATTACATGAAAGGTGAAACCTTCTCTACTTTATTCATACATAACCACTTGTCTGAGAAGATATCCTACTTCAGTGAGCTTCTCAGTGTATACTTCACAGGGAGCCCCTTGGAAGTCGTTCTTAGCTGGAACACTTTCAACCTGCCCAAACAGCCTTTCCATTTTCCTGAGCATTCCAAACTATGGGAAAGCCATATACTGCATAAACCATCTAGTTATTACAAGTACCACTTTAAAATTAATAATTATTTTTTCTTTGTATTGTGCATGGAACACAAGCACTGACTGCACACAGGGCAAGTGCTCCACAACCAGGTCACACCACTAGCAATGATAAACCTTTCTTTGGATCCTATAGGCCTTATGAACATCTACCATGAGCTTGGAAGTATGGAAACTACTTTAAAATTAGGAATTCACTGTCATCATGAAGAAATAGAGGCCCAAGGACATAATACTCTGGCGTCAAAACCTTGCATCATCGATATTTATAAAACTCAGGTTTACCTGCTGCAGAGAGGGTGAGACCAGGGGCCACCACACCACTGCAGTTGCTGGACCCTGCACTCGAATGAGGCATTTGTCCACGATCCTTGTCCTTTCCACAGTGAGAGACACAGCTGCAGGGTGGAGCTGACTGAGACCAAGTTCTGGGCTGAGATGTTGCTCATGGGAGACAGGGCACCAGTGACCCAGACTGGCCCAGCTCCAGCCAACGCAGGAGGGACAGAGGATGATGCAGTGGCTGAAATCAAGATGACCTCTGATTCTAGAGCTGAGGAAGAAAGTTCCAATGTGACCATAGTGAGTTCCACACCTATAAAGACCTCAGCCTCAACATGTCTCAGGGTATCCATCCCTCACAATGACCTTGTATGGCTCAAATACTCTGGTCTCCAAACATCTAACCATGTAGTGAACAACCAGCAGAAGTCATAGATCAAGATGGCCCAAGTCAGCTGGGGTTGCTGTCAGCAATGCATTCAGAATTTGGACTTTTGTGTGGCACTGAGGAGCACTCCTGCTTCAGCCCACCTGACTGACAGTTTGTATAGCCAGCCCATTCATCAGTGACGGGCTCCTCCTCCGTGCCTGCTTTGTCCGTCAAGAATGACAAAGAAAGGACCTGCTTGAGAATTGCTAAAATCATACAT